ACGTCGATGGGTGGTTGACCATTTTGCTTCTTTTCGTTTTAAATCTTCCTGTAACTCTGCAATCTGCTGTTTTAAAGCCTTAGAAAAAAGCATGTTTATAAATTTTCATTTTTTTAATATATGACACACACACACAAAAAAAAAAATAAGGTCAGCTTAATGGGGCAAAGGGTGAAAAGTAGAAAAAGTTTTCTTCCTTGAAAGAGATTATTTACTTTAGACTATCAACTTTACAAGCTAAACTTCAGTCACAGGAAGCATCTTTATTGCCCTCCTGACATTCTTTGCACTTCATAGATTGGCCAGTACAAATACACTTGAGACACAAACATTAAATCTTTAAGGCTACCCCTGAGAGGACTCTTCAAAAACCTTGACACAGGAAAGCAGGGAGTATACAATCACATAATACACATGTGAATCTGCCTGGCCAGTTTAGCAAATATTACTTCAATTTCTTGAAATAAGGAAAACTTGCAGGGAAGGAGGAGGGAGAACCATGTGACTTGTCTGTACATGTCATACCACATATCCTGACAATGAAGGAACAAAAAGATTCTGTTTCTTACATCTCTGATACCTAGAAGTACCTCGAAGTAATAACAAAACTAACTTTTTAAATCATAGATTACTGTTTACTGTACAACACTTAGAGACAGAATAAAACTCAAGTGCAGTTCTAGTTTGCATTTTGATCCACCACTAAGAATAAAAACTTACAACTTAATATTAACTACAGTAATTTTATATCAAAGTTGAAGGTCATTCTACCATAGTAATGGGCAGTTTTCAGAATGGAAACAAGACAAAGATTTGCTCATGAGGGAGTTTTGCCTTAAAGCCGTCAAACAAAACTGCTAAGACTGTAGTTCCCTTCTTCAATTAGAACCACAGAATCACAGAATCATTTAGGTTGGAAAAGACCTTTAAGGTGGTCAAGTGCAGCTGTTAACCCAGCCCTGCCAAGTCCACCACCAAATATGCCCACTAACAGTTCCCTTCTTGAAATCACTTGCAACCTTTCAGTTAAGTTACAATTAGCTCTTGACTGCCTTTAAATGAATTTACACATTCCTGCATGGACTAGAAGAATAATATATTTTTATACCTGGATTTCATCACGTTCTTTTTTATCTGGCATTGTTCTTGCTTCTGCCGTGTATTTTTCAAAAACTTTACGCTCCTTTTGCAGTTTTTTCATTTCCTTTTTCTTATACTCTTCTATTTCAGCCAGTTCTTGGGCTTTCTGCTGTTGGAAGTCTGCAATTTCTTTCCTGTAATTATGAAACAAAATATTTGTTTTAGCCCAAAACTACTTCACGTCTGGATTTCAGGGAAGAAAATGAAGACTCTGAATTTTGTGGTCATTGATTCCAATACAGCATGTTACGCCAAGGAAGACTGAAGCTATAAATGGTATTATTTATTTAAGGAGTCAGAATTGTCACTTAGTGTTTGAAGTCCAACAATTTCTATTTGTGTATCTTCTAGTTACAAAAGTTATCCTAACTCAACAAAGCTTTGGCTAAAATCTTCCACCATTTTTCAAAGCAGTAGAACACCATTTCCCCAAAAGTACCTTGGAAAAAGAATCTGCTAACAGCAGGAGGTCACAAATCAGCCAAAAAATGTGATGCATTTTCCAAACAAAATAAAAGTAACTTTGGTAGGAATAGGTGTGCCACACTTAAACCACCAGAGATAATTATTCTGCTCTGTATGCTACTTGTATGTTCCACAGTTCAAATTAAAATAGTCTCTTTTTACACACAAACATCTGATCTAAAGAAAGAACATCAGTCATGTTAGTATGAAGATTTGTTTTACAAGACCAGTTTAGGTCTATGTTACCACTTGGAACAAGAGTAAACAACTTGTCCCAAGTATAGCCTTTAAGGATATTATATTAAACTAGAAGGGGTTCTTACTATTATCATTTGTGTGCGAGTAATAATTAGTTTAATACATACATAGAGCAACAATCAGTTTCTCGACTTGTGTCTCCACTGTAACTGATACACACCAATTACCTACCTGTGCTGTTGGTAACTGGACATTAGGATAGTCTGGAACATACTATGTTAGCCTGAATTGTTCCCATTAACAATTACCTAATATTTGCCAAGGCATGCTCTCTTTCTTCACGGAGTTTAGACAGACTTGTGTTTTCAGCTCTGAATCTCTCTATTTCGTTTTCCAGTTCAATGAGTCTTTCTCTCAGTAGCTGGGATGGAACAGTGTTTCCTGTCAAAGAACAGCCAAGTACAAGTTATCAAAGCAGCATCCATATCAAAACCATCCATAATGGCTGAAGTAAACCATTATTACACACCGGTTATAAAATTAAAAACCAAATCAATTTAAAAATCAGGTGGTACAACTTTAGAGATAGTGGTAGTATTGTGAAACATTTCTACTGTTCAGCTAACACTGGAGTGACATTTCAAAGCACGTGATGCTGTTTACTCAAATACCTCAAATGCTGACTACATCTATCATCTTTGTAGAACAAAATATATATTAGCAAATGGAATGTGAAGGGCTTCACATCAATCCAAAGAAATTAGATGAAGGTATAAGGGCCAAGCATCAAACAGGAAAGTTCATGGTTGTTAAGTTTTTCCAAGTTTTATTCACAACAAAATCCGCTCACGCCCATCATCACTGTGTGATTTATTGCACAGGCCAGCAACAGGATTTGTGGGCTTTTCTGCCATGCCAGTTTCCTGTTCATTCACTACCTAACACTCTCAGAGTTTTAATAGTCCACTTCTTGGATATAGATTGGATATAAGGAGGAACTTCTTTCCTGTTAGGGTGGTGAGGCACTGGAATGGGTTGCCCAGGGAGGTTGTGAATGCTTCATCCCTGGCAGTGTTCAAGGCCAGGTTGGATGAGGCCTTGGGTGATACAGTTTAGAGCGAGGTGTCCCTGCCCATGGCAAGGGGGTTGGAACTTGATGATCTTAAGGTCCTTTCCAACCCTAACTATTCTATGATTCTATGATTCTGAGTATGCAACAGAAAAGCCTAGACCCTGATGCTGCAGTCTAGGTAGGCAGTTACCTCATTTACCCTTAAATGCCCCAAGGCTCAATAAAAAAAACCCCACCTCTCTTCCTGTAAACAACATCTAACAGGCATCCTTAAACAACCCTACAAGATCAGTTCTCCACAAAACAATAAGCAGAAGTAGCAGCTTTGTTATGAACTTCTCAAAAACCTAACCAAAATCCTAAATATTTGCTGGAGCAGAGTATGAAATCAAGATCTCACCACCTTACAGAGAAGGGATTTAAATGCTAGGCTATGCCATCATGCTTTCATCAAACAACTGCATTTTTAATAATCTCACTTAAACACAACAGCTTCAACAGGAGCCTTTAGAGGCAGACCTTCCCCAGAATGTAACCACAATTGAAATCAACTTGAGTAAGACACAAGAATTAATCCACATTTCCCACATTCCAAATGAATTCTTTAGATATTATACTAATGTCAAAAAACACAGACAGAGCTGCCACATCCTTATAAGGTGAATAAGCCAACCTAACGGTGCACAGCACTACCCTACTGTAAGTGTAAACATGCATGGTAGTGGAAAGGGAGGTACCACTTAATTTTTGGCAGGCATTTGATACTTTCCTCAGTTTGGGAGCAGTGATCAAGCAGCTCCAGATCAAGTTAATTCAAAGAGCTACTCTGACAGAAAACTAGCCCCCAGGGGAAAAAAAAAAACCTTCAGAAAAAACCAAACAAAAACAAAAAACCCCAAAACAGGTTGCACTGCTATCATTCTGCAACCTGCGTATTTGTTAGATCTGACATCAGACACTCAACCAGGAGAGGAGATGAAAAGTGAGAACAGAGCCATTCCTTGCAGTAGAAGTCTGTACTTATACCCTTTGCTGTAATGTCAGGTTTCAGCTAAAGTGTTAGCAGGAAAGAGTTGTAATAGGTTGTCTTCAACATTTCCTACCACTTACTGTTCTCTCACCTCCTGACTCCTGTTCCACATTTGATTTCATTTCATGCTCTGAATGACGTCCTGCCTTCTGTTTTGGTTTCAGTGAAGGAAACAGTTTCTTCATGAGGTTTGATACAGGAGGTCCATTTGAATCACTGTCCACTGCAGACTCTTTGGACATTTCATCTCTTTTTGAGGCAACTTTTCTCTTTATTGCTTTCTCTGGAACAACTGTATCATTCTTACCAGAAAAGTGCATCTGTAAAGGTGTTTTAGTATATTTTTCAGGTAAATCACTGTTAACATAATTTTCATCAAGATCACTCCATGTTCTTTCATCATCAAACTCAAACTCACTCCTACTTATACAAGACACACTTCTCTGATGGTCTGAAGCTTTTCTAATCTGCTTTGACAGAGCAGTACAATCTTTGTCTGATATACTAAGGTCAGCATCTCCATTTTTGCTTTCTTTGCTGAGGTCTGTAACAGAACCCCCATAATCAAAAAATTCTGGATCACTTTCTCTATGGCTTATAAAGGATGTCTGAGCATCTTCATTTTCATCCTTTAATGTGGACTCACTCTCAGAATCTATAGGAGTATTATCACTGCCCTCACCCTTATCTTCATTTACAATCCACTGATTACTTTTTAAGTCAGGAGCTGCAGTCATGGAAGAAGCTGAAAATACTACACCATCCATTTTATTCAACAGATCCTTCATCCTAAGAGCTGTTCCGGAATGTGAGGCTATATGCATAACTGCTCTATCATTTGTGTTTCCCTGTGTCATACCATCTGTCTTTTTATTTATCTGATTTACAAGCTCAAAAGCCAGTGACTTGACTTGCTGCTGTTTTGCCTTGATAGGGGTAGAAGACATTCTGCGGTCTTTTAAAGCTTGCTGATCTTGATCCAAGATCCTCTGCACAAATGAGGAATTACTTGAGAAAGAGATCTCATCTGCAGCTTGTTCTAGAAACAAAAATTCATCTAATTCTAGATTCTCTTTTTCTTTTTCCCTTTCCCAGTTTTCCAGCTTATTCTGAAATGAAACTTCAAAAGACAGTTCTGAATCTTTTACAGGATTACCTACAGGACACTTAGAATTAGAAAAGGCACTCGACACCTCGTAAGACAACTGAGGCTTTTCTGTGCCAGGTAATTTGTTTCCAATCTTGCTGGCATTAGATTTAGTAAATTCTACTATATGCTCTTCATTTTCTATTTTGTTGTTAATTTCTGATGGGAAAAAATCTTTCATCTCTACATCATGATATTTTCCTGGTGGCATTCTTGTTTCTAATGGCAAGGTATTTTTTCTGTTGTGGTTCCTGAGTACCAGGGTCTTTGGAATAGGACAATGTTTGGCTTTATTGGGGCGATTATACTTTTTACATGGTGCAACAGGGTTCCCAGGAACCAATAGTTTGCCAGGAGGCAGAGTTTTCTTCTGTATTTGTGATCTGTCCACTTTAATGACATTTCCATCATCTGAACACTTCTGGTGGAGTTTTAGGGCATTTTCTCCAGGTTTTGTAATTTTAGGTTTGGCGTTAGTGAATCTTGTTAATCCTTCTCCTCTTTTCAGGAAGGGTCGTTTGATCACTGGTTTGCAAATGGCTGATCCATTTTTCTCCTGAAGAAAAAGGAAAAGTAAAGAGGAAGAAAAGTAAAACACCAAATGTTAAAAAGCCCCTTATACAGTTCGAAGATTTCTTCAAATAAACCCCACATATAAGTAGGAATTTATATAGTACATTTCCACTGGATTTCTAAAGACATCTTAAGTGAAATATTTGGGGCTTATTATTTTATTTTAATAATGTGAATACTGCATGTGGTGTCAGCTTTTGATGCTAGAATCTTCCTTGTGCATTTTTGAAGCAGCTGCAGTATCTTGGCACAATATATAAAGCACTTTAAAGATAAAAAAAAACCAAAACAAACCAAAAAAAAACAACTAACCTGTAGCTTCTGGGTTTGCTCCAGACGACGCTCTTCCAGTTGTATCTGTTCTTCCAGGTATTCTTCAAATGTCTGTTTCTTCTCCTGAATCACAGCTTTAATAGGTCTAGTGTAATTAAAGAAAATATATAGAGAAAAAGCAAGTCTTACGTTTCTGTGCAAAATAACTGTGTTTAAAGTCACTGCTGTTCAAAGACCTAAGGTGTAATTACATAAAGCATGACAAAATATAAGATACTTTAACACTTAATGACCAATCTGAGAAATGCATTGTAACACTAGCTGTTCATCTTTTGAGAAATGTCTTATGAAATCCTTGCTATCATTAATATACATATCTAAAAGATATTGTAGGCAGGGTTTGCTCTTTCTTCTTTCATTGCTTTTCTCAATGACTCTTCTGCCCAGATCACCAAACTTTCACTCGTATTTTAGTCATACATCCAATTTTGAAAGTATCACCTACCCAGTTCACTGATGCTACTGAGATTGTGTTCCTTACCTCCCCCTTCGATAGTCCTCTGCCTCCACAGCAGTAATGGGTCTGTCTGGGATTGAGTGAGCTTTCTTCACAGCAATCCATATGGTGCTGTGGTTTGGATTTGTGACTACAGCAGTGTTGATACACACAAATGTCTTAGATATTACTGAACACTGCTTGCATGGCATCAAAGCTTGCTTTGGTTTTTCATGCTGCTTCCTGCCCCCAGGAAGTAGGCTGGGGGTGGGCAAGACACTTAGAGGGGACACAGCCAGAACAGCTGACCCAGATTGACCAAAGAGCTGTTCCATGCAATATAACATCATGTACAGCAGCAGTAACTGGGGCTTGGTCTTCTAAAAGGAGCTGTTGCTCAGAGACCAAATGAGCATCACTCTGCTTGTGAGAGGTGGAGGGTGACTGCCTATGCATCACTTGGGGTCCTCCCCCCCAACCCCCCCTTTCTTATTAAACTGTTTTCATCTCAACCCCCAAGTTTTCTCAAGTTGGCTTCTCAGATACCCTCTCTGATTCTGCTCTGGGGGACAGACTCAGTGGGCAGCTCCGTGACTGCTTAGTTTCTAGCTGGGCCCAACCCACCATAGCTAGGAACAAGTACTTCTTGCTTTAGCAATGACCTGTCGGACACAGCACAGGTTTAAAACAATACCAGCCATTACTGCTGCTCTATCAGCTCCATAAACAAAGCTTCTATCATACATGTGAAGGCTTCTGCCACAAGCACTATTATTACTTCTAGCCATATGCAGATGTTTAAACAAATGTAAGTCCTGGTAACAAACTAGTCACAGCCTTACACTCCTCTTTCACATTACTACTTTCACCAGTAGATAGGAGGTTGTAACAAATCAAATTGGGAACAGTAATTATAACTGTTTATATACTAAACTGTGTTTCTAAACTACCATTACCTTAGGCTGCATACACCTCTTCAGCCAATAGACAACAGTACATCTTTCACAGAATAATCAATTTCAAGCCATAGCCTCTCTTACTACAGTTCTCCACAGTACCTAGCAAAATGCAATTCCTGGTTGAGAAAACTACACAGATTGAGAGTATCAGACCTTTTCAATTAGGACTGAGAATTCAACCAAACTCAAGTTATTTGATACAAGCTGCATAACAATTGTCTGATTTACCTTTCTTCTGTATTAGTCCACAAATGTTTTCCTCTGCTTGAATTTTCAGAGAGATCTGCACTTTCCACACGTAAAGGATCAATGTGATCATCTTCACTCTCCGTTAATATTTCCATCTTCTTTTGTTCTGGACACCACATGTTTTTTCCTATGAAGTTAACAGAAATTTATTTTTTTTCTTGCCACCAACAAATCAGTTTTCAGCTCATACTTTAAGCAACATTCAGGTCATATTAAAACCAGGAGGGAGCTTTATGGTAATTTAGTCTGTCTGAACTCCTACATGAAATAGTCCTAAGATTTGCCCAAATTAATTCTTACTTGAATTTGAGCTTTTTCCTTTTTTTTTTTTTTTTGCAAGAAACTTCCAAATATGCATTAAAACTTTTCCACAGACCTTAAATAACCCATTCTCATTGTTCATCTTCTTTGCTATTGTTAATTTATGGCTTAAAAATAAATGAACAAATTTGGATGTCTGCTGTATTAAAGAGCTCTCTTACCAAGCTTCTGTTTCTCATGTATATAGGTATAAAATAGGTTCAGTTTATTCTTTCACATACTCTTAAACCAAGCCCTCCGATTAAAAGTTTCAAAGCTGGTATGAAGTATAATGAAATGCAATGCTGTACCTTTTCTCCTATAATCTCTACAGGTTAATAAGGTTTAACCTTATTAAACTGCTAATTTCAAACCAAAACCACTCTTCCAGTCATAGGAGAAGACTAGTCATTCAGTGCCAATGGTAAAATTGAGAAGAGTAGGAAAGAAAGAACCCCTTTGAACTGCTCCTGACATACAAAAAATTTTTAGTCGTATGGTGGGACCCCATAAACCCATCTTGATTCCCAATTCCAGTTCAGTCACTAATCCACACAACAGAGCTGTCTAAAGACATTCTGCATCCCTGGATAAATTGTTATTTTCCATTTTCCTCAGGAAAATGTATGTACAGTTCAGCCTAAACAATTCTGCTATCCAGAATCAGTCATTATTTTCTATTTTCAATCTTTATCACATGTAAGCTTTAGCAGTAATGGTTTTAAGCTTTTCCTAAAACAGACAAGCACTTCATACAGACAGAAAAAAACTTGATTTTTGCCTCATGTTGCTTTTAATAATACCCACATGGACATCAGCAGGAGCAGCCCGAGATCTCTAAGCTGTCAGTAAAACAAACCACAAATCAAGTAAACCAACACTTGTATAAGATCTTCACAATAAGTAATAGAAAATTTCAGTAACTACAATGGGAAAAATAACCCACCACACACCAAGTTATCTTCTGTAAATGACTAACCAGTAATGTGTTTGTCTTCCTCATTTTTCAGACAGTTCTGGATTTTCATAGACACACCCAGACCTTGTTTCTCACAGGCAGGCACTCTTGAAGGGCTGTTCTTCAAAGATGAGGTGCATTCTTTGCTGTTTAACTTTAGTAAAACATCACTGTCTTGTGCATGTGGAGAACCAATTGAAGCATAAGCTCTGTCTTCAAAGATATTCTGATACCCAGATGATGGCAACCGGTGTAAAGTAGTTAAGCCCACTGAATGCCCAGGTCTCAGCTTTTGACCTTCAGCCATTAGAGGATAGCCTTTAAATTAATAGAAAAAAATAAAGTCTGTGTCATTATATGTGTATTACACCACCACTGTTCCACAGGAGAAAAGAAATGACACTGAAAGGCCAGATTGACCACTCAGCTCCACCCTTAGGTTAGTGACCATGAAAAAGGAATTGGGCAACCTGGGTTTTTGTTCTCCTGAACTAAGCCCTAAGTCCATCTTCTCAGGCAGGCAGAGTGAAAGAAAAATAATCATTTAGGACAGGTTGGATTTATACTGCCAACAGGAGAAAATACCCCTGGCTCAGCTCTCAAAGCTTTTCCCAGCCCAGCACTGTCCCCTTCTGTTGCACACAGCAAATGAGACTGGAAAACCGGTACAGGTTACAAGTGTTTGTTTTTAAATACAGATCCTTCAGCGCATCACCAGAAGAAATTTGTGCTGTGAGAGCACATGCGAGGAGAGAACACTTAATTTGGTGACGCTGACAGCTTAAAGCAATCAAAAATATTGTGAAAAACAGTTCATGAGAAACAAAAGCAGCTGTTTGTTCTACACTGTAATTTATATGTGAAATATGTTCTTCATATGATCAAGTTACATATGATCAAGTTACAATTACAGCTGGCATTTTATAAAAACAGGACAGTCTTCCTTCTTCACTTAACTTTCAGGCACTGGAGCAATGCAGCATTTATCTTTTGATCACTCAAGTTTTCTTAAGGTGAAAAACACTGAATATGCTTCCAGGTTTTAACTGGAAAATGAGATTAAATTCTTCGGTTTACTCAAAGTACGTCATACGGTTTCTTTCTTAACTTACCAAGAACTGCTGTCTGGCCAGATACCATGCTAAGTAACTTATGCTGCTCTTCCATTAGCCTTTGAAGTTGCTCCATCTGTTGTTTCTTTAGTTGCTCCTGTTTCTGTTGTTGCAATTCCTTCAGCTTTTCAATCAAAATATATAAATGTATTGAGGTTAAGCTTACTTAGAACGTACCACAGGATTAGTGTCACAGAGACAACAGGTCTTGTTTTAAACGTTTTCCATTAGGTAAGTGTAACATGAAGGAAATTAAGAATTTTCCTATCTATGAATACTCTTGCTATTTCCAGTTTGTCCAGTTAACAGTTCCACCAGTGTTTAATTGACCTATCTGCAAACAACAGGAATCAGAACACTCACTTCTGCTGCATAGGGAAAGCATTCAAATTCTGCTCTTTTAAAATTAACATCTGCTAAGCTGTTGTTTTATTCAAATGTGAAATACTTCATAATAATTAAAGCTTTAGAGAAAGTGCAATGGAGTTCCCCTCCCGCCCAAGATCTCAGTCAACAGTCTCAGTGAACAGTACTGATACAAAAGGCCAAGAGGAGGAAAAAGATTAGAGAACATTAAGACTCCTGAAGCTGCCTGAAAAAAACAAACAAACAAACAAACAAAAAATAACCAAACAAAAAAATCTAAAATACTGATTAAATTCAGTAGTCCAGTCTTCATTTCCTTGTGCAGCAAAGTTCCTGGCCCTGTCTCAAGCCCTATGCAGGACCAGGGCATTCTGTACCCTACCAACCACAATGGTGGTGGGCTTCTGTGTCCATCTCTACCTCCAACACATACATATGTGCTACTTCGAGTTCCTCCAAAGGAGAGACAGAAGCCCTACTTAAATCCTTCCACAGACCAACAATTGGACCACACCTGTGATAAAACCGTGTGCACCTTTC